AAGGAAACAGAGTTGCCCCCATTTTCACTCTGGGGATTTGCCTAAGAGGGTTTGAAAGCTCTTGAACTACCAGAGTACTCTGCAATTCTATACTTCCTGTGTGCATACATTTTTTATGTGATGCAACCAAGTGTACCAGTGACATATGCAAGCACCTAATGACTAACAAAGCCAATGTTAGTTTGAAGCAGAGAAAATGAAAAGGTAGCAGCAGATTTTGAAAAGTGGAGGAATAGAGGGAAAGGTAAGGAGAAAAAAGGAATCCAAAAGAGAAAAAGCACATGTGCATGTATTTTTGTGTGTTTGTGTACCACTGTATATACAAAACAACAAACGTAATTTTCTTATTTGAAAAGCATGGATATATTTTTGTTTCATTGTAATCTCTATTGCAAAATAAAATGTGGAGCAATGCATAGTGCAACATGGAAATTCAAATTCAATGTGGTTTCTATATAAACTAAGGAGAAAAATTCTGTCTTCCTTTCAGAAGCCAAGCCATGCCAGCACAGAAGAAGATAGACCACTGACTTTGTGCTTCCGGTTGACTCCAACATTGCAAATCCAGGTGAAAGATTTCTTGTCACTGAAATAATTGAGCTATTCAAGCCTTATAGTAAATTCAGGAGTAATGTAATGAAATTAATCTCCCTTTCATTTCCATGAATCTTATATATAATTACCAAGTTTTATAGACATGTGAGAATTATAAACCAATGGGGTTCCCAAAAGCACCCAGGCCGTTGTATTTATAATGTGAAAGCAGCAAAGGATTGGCCCACCATATTGGAATTTTTCTGAACTCTTCCATGACCTGGCTCAGTTGACAGTTACTAAGTTTATTTTAAACAGAGAGGTAATTTTATGAGGGTACATTCATATCTAGAATAGATCTTGTCCCGAACAGGTCAGACTGTCAATTAAGGAGACAGGAAATAGAAAGCCAGCCATATCCTCAGATTGTACTTGCAGAAAGACATATCTGGCACTGATAAGCACTGATGGTTCTGAGGCAGGCTGGCTAGCTCAGGAAGAGAGAAGGATGGAAAAATATTGCCTAAAGTCACAAAACACCTTGCATCTAACCACAAACCACAGAACACTTTGTCAGCCCTAGCTGCAACTTCCTGATAACAACCCAACCAATACCAGCTCAACTCAGTATGGTGACAAATGCACCTGAGAGGGCCCCAGTAACTCATTACAGTATCATTATGATATTAACTAACACCTCAGAGGACAATAGCAAATCCATTCCAAAGCAAATATAGCCAGAAAATAGGTGTCACTAAATCCCAAGAAATTCCTACCTTTTCCCCAAAAATGTAATGAATATTCCTCCCACTAGCTAACATATACTTACAGAAACCCAATAAAAATCACCATTTGAATCTGCGGCAGGCCAGTCTTCACTTGGAGCCTGCCTGCACTCATTTCTCGTGTGGGTGCTGTTTCTTTCAATAAACTACTTTGCTTACTCCCCAGTCTTTGGTTTGCTCTTGAATTCCCTTTCTTGCAGTAAAGTCAAGATCCCAGACAAGAGTTGAAGTCTTCTTCTGCTTGTAAGGGAGACCTCCTCAACTGCAACATTTCTTTAAGAGCTTGGGGGTGGCCCCATTCACTCTACTGGATCAGCTGTCTGAAGGTGGGACCATGAATTTGGGTTACAATAAGACCTCCAAGTGATTCTGATGCACCCTGAAAACCTGAAATCCGAGAACCACTGATCTAAGACAATCGCCGCCAGACATCTGCTTTGGCTCTTGTGGCAGCTGGCTCTCCCAGGCAGCATCACTTGTCTGGCTCTGACTTGCCATCCCTGCCTACATCTGCAGGACATTGTGAAGAAGAGCACCCACGCACCTTGCTCAAGCAAATGCAGAGCCTGCCACAAGTCTACCAAACAGGCAGCATCAACACAGTTCTGAGCTGGCTTGCTGTGTGGACCAACGATGGTGAATATTCACACCATCAGACCCTGGAGGTTGTCCTTCACACAGAGATGAAGCATCATCATATACCTTTTCAGGAAGAGCAGTTTTCTGCACCCTGCCTTAGTATAGACTTCAAGCACATAGGAAAATTCAACATAATTGTCAATGTTTTCAAACACAAGCTTTTTAAAACCATCTGCCTTTATGGAGAAATAGACCATGTCTTACATAAATGACTTTTAGTCCAGGCAGTAGTTTACTAATTCACCTCGGATAAGTCTCTAGGCTCCCAGATTCACTGGCAGGAGTGGCTGACTGACAGTCATGCACAGGAAAGCCTCGTTCCTGAGAAGATGGTGAAGATGGTGATGCCTCCTGTCAGATACTTCTAGCTCAGCTTGCCTGAGGTGTAATATCCTTGGAAAAGTCACAGATACAACACTACTGACTTTCGTGAGCATTTGCAGAAGAAATGGCCAGATGCTTAAATACTTTTAAAACAAATCTCTCAAACACACTTATTTTCCCAACAGACAAGCTGTATTTATTTTTTTCTAAAGGATCTTCCATTTTGTGGAAACGCACACTTCCTAATTTTAACACATTACCTTTTGTACTTCTCCAAGCAAACTTGTCATATGCAGATATGTTAGCTCTTGCAACATGCTTTGGTCACTATGGATAAAAGGTCCACAGATTGGAAGTTTAAAAACAAATTATTGTCCATGAAAAGGAAACTTGCATCTCAAGAAATCAGAGAGCATGCCCACCAGCCAGCCACCATGGACCACAGGATGACACCTCCACACAGTGGGGGGATTGCAGGCTTTGTTTCCCACCTAAGCTCCCGGGAGACTCTTCCCAGATCTGTCTGGTGGTCTCAGGGTAAGATGTTTACCAGAAACTCAGAGGACGGAGACATTGTGTCCATGAGATGTGTGAAAGGGGCACTAATCCAGTAGCATATGTGAGATATTAAAGGCACTATTTTTGGAGGAAAATAAAGCAGTGAGGGTCTCCTGGTTAGGCAAATACTAACTACTAGACCAAATGACAGGAAGCTGTCTTGACAGTAGGGAGAGCTTAACTCAATGACACTCTTCATAACTATCTGAAATTCCCAAAATGTCTTTTGATGAAGGATACAAATGTGAAAGGAAAACTATAAAAATACCTTCCTGGCCAAATAAGTGAAAGATCCCATTAGCAAATTATAACGCTTGAGGTTTTTTTATACTGTTTGCTTTGCTTTTATTAGAAACAGTTCAAATTCTGCAATATACTCATATATGGGGAACTCCTCAAAACTGGGATCTAGGCTGCTCTGCTTCCCAAAGTAGTTTTACTGCCAAAACTCAGTCTTCAAAAAACTTTTTGTGGAAGTGGTTTTGAAAATGAACACAGGCAGCTGGGCTCGGAGGCTCAGCCTGTAATTCCGCACCTTTAGGAGGCTGAGGTGAGTGGATTTCCTGAGCCTGTGGGTTTGAGACCCGCCTGGGCAGGCGAGACCTCATCTCTACAATAAATCAAAAATTAGCCGGGCATGGTAGAATGCGCCTGTAGTTCCAGCAACTTGGAAGGCTGAGGCGGAAGGATCGCCGGAGCCCAGCAAGTCGAGGCTGCGGTGGCCGGGAGCAGCCACTGCACTCCAGTCTGGGTGACAGTGAGACTCCAACTCAAAAAAAAAAGAAAAGAAAAGAAAATGAACACAGGCAATAATAATACTTGATGTTTCCAGTGCTTTGTGCGCTGGTTGTGTTTTTGTTTAATTCTCACAACCACCATGAAAAGGTTCTTGTTTTCTTGGTACTACAGGCAATAAAGTGAGGTTTAGACAGGTGAAGTGCCTTGCCCAAAACCACCAGGCTGTCAGGAGCAGACAAGGGTCCAGCAGGTTGCCCTGCTAAGCCAGGGGGATTAGCTCAGCTTCCCCAGGAGAAGGGACCTGCCAAGGGGGAACCCTATGGACACAGGCACTATCCTCCAAGCCAGGTGCCTTGGATGTCTACACTGACCTCTTTCTGGCTGGCCACTCCATCTATTGTTTCCAAATTCAGGGGAGAAAGAGGAGTGACATTTATTAGCCCCTGGTACCCCAGTGAGACCTGCTTGGGGGGAGGGGAGGCAGCCAGAGTCAGAGAAGTGCCTTAGTACTGAACTAAAAGGAAGTTCATTTTTAGTGTAGAAATGAGACAGGTGGCTGGGAAAGATTTTGCTTTATTCTTTATGTTTATTCTTTGAGACAGGAGTTAAGTCAGACAAGTGAAACACAACCAAACCGAGCCAGCCGACACTGCAAAGCTCTATCCCACACTTAGAGAGTTTTACCAGTTACTTAAAGGGGAAGACTGGATACAACGGAAAGAATCCCAGTTCAACTCTATCGTAAGTGAATCTGTTACAGACTAAAAAGAGTCCATTTTTATTATATCAGAACAGTCATTTAGAAAATACTTAGAAACTTGTATTAGGAAACTTACTTTTGTAGCTGAATTGGGCTAAATATAGAAGCTGCTAGAATTTTTAAAGTGCACATTCTTCTTTTCACCACATTGCTCTCAGAATGTGATCAGTCTCCCTTCTTCCTTGACCCAGCCTTGCCCAGCTGGTCTGAAAGGTCAAGCTTACCTAGTAAGCCATTGCTTGGTGCTTGAGAAGAAACAGCCAGTTACACCAGACCACCTGATAGTTAGGAGACATGGAGAACTGTCCAAGGCCAGCAGGAGTGTGTCTGAAAGCCTGGTGTGAGCATCATCCCCTCCCCTCCATCTGTGAGTATGAAAGCATAGAACTGTTATAAACCAGGACTCTGGAAACAAGGGATTGTGACAAATGTGTTTCAGAACAATTTAAAACTATCATTTTAAATGTTGTGACTTTCAGGCCATTATTTTAAATGCTGTGACTTTATCTTCCTTCCAAATGTTGCAATTGTCTGCCCCTTCCTCTGAAAAACTAAAATATAACATGTTGTAAATTCCAAAACACTGTTTAAAAATGTCAGCATGACCAGGGAGACTTAGAATCACATCAGTGGTCATGTACCAGAAAATGTTAATGTAGATCTTGAGTCAGCCTGAAACTGTACTTGAACGTCTTAATCTTAAGCTTAACAATGGGTGGGTGAAGGGCTATAAATTTGGGGTACAAATACTGAAAAGAGTTTGTGTTGCTTTTAGCAGGTTTTTGGTAATGATGCCAACCCATCTCCCCGTAACCTGGTTGCAGAAATTGACGACCATTTTCTCCCAGTTTCTGCCTCTGGTCTTTGACCATGAGGGATAACAGTCATTTGCTAGACTGGACAAAACCAAATCCATCAGGAATCACATTCCGTGGGCATTAGGTTGTGTGAAATGGAACTCCATCTGTTCATTCTTTTGTTGTCTTCACGTGAAGAAGAGTTAAGGTCTCTTTAAGCACATCTAAAGAGAGAGAGAGAGTGAGAAGGCTATGAGAACCTGAATTTGTGTGCCCGGAGTGAAAGAAGCCACCTCATTCTTCCCTGGGTGCCAGGTATTGTTTTAGGCGTTTGGTGACTTCATCTCATTTAGCCCCCAAATAGCACTTCAGGGATGCTATTGTGGGTGGTTCATACAATTTCAGTCCCACAGCTAGACAAGAGACTAGGCAGGGGACTAGAAGTGGGTCAGAGCCAGTGTACCTTGGAGCTCCGTTGCCTACCTATCCTGCAGCAGAGCCCTTGCCTGCTGCCACAGAAGCCCCTACCCACCCTCCCCATATTGGCTTTGCCTTGCTCTTCAGTCCTTGCTCCACAGTGTATCCTGCAATATCTGCCTCCAGCCCTTTGGCTGTCTTCTAAGGGACGCTCCCTGAGTCCTGACTCTAGCTGATCATGCATATCATGGGGAGGTGTGGTCTCCCCAGAAGGCTGTCACAGCAGACTGGGCACTTAAGACAACTATACTTTACAGGATAAGGGTTCTCACAGCAAAAGTGCACATTGTGTGAGAACAGACAGGTAAAGAAAACAGAGAGCAGGAAATGCTCAGAAAGATTCAAAATGAAATGTCAGACATTAAGGACACTCTTAGAAATGAGAAATGAAAAATGCCTATTATGGAATCATCAATAGGCGGGACATGGTCAAGAAAAGAATTGACTTGAAGAAGTGTCAATAGACTTCCAAAACTGAAATACAGAAAGAAAGCAGGAATGAATGAAAAAGAACATTCAAGAACAGAATACGCACAAAATGTGAAACACATTAGTATCACTCTGCAGACCACAGATCCAGAAACTCAGACAACATCAAGCAGGACAGACACCATGAAAGTGTATACCTTGGCTAGTCTTGAACACCTACAATGGAGAAATCTTGGAAAGAGGCAAAGGGAAAAGATTGTGCCTATAGAGGAACAAAGGTAAAAATTATATTAGACTTCTTTTTAGAAAGCATCCAAATATGAAGAGAGTAGAGCAGAATATTTCCAGTATTGAAAGGAAAAAAAAATCACCAACCAAGAATACTGTATCTTTTTTTTTTCTTTTTTTTTTAGTTGGAGTCTCACTCTGTCGCCCAGGCTGGAGTGCAGTGGCACGCTCACAGTCACCACAGCCTCAACCGGCTGGGCTCGGGTGATTCTTCTACCTCAATCTTCCAAGTAGCTGGAACCACAGGCATGTGCCACCAAGTCTGGCTAATTTTTTTTTTTTTTACTTATTGTAGATATAAAGTCTTGCCATACTGGTCTCGAGTCCCTGAGCTCAGGCCATCCTCTCACCTCCACCTCCCAAAGTGCTGGGATTACAGACTTGAGCCACCCCACCTGACCTGAAAACTGTATCTATTAAATGTACTTCCTAAGTGAAAGAAGGCAGTATGAAAAAGCCACACCTGTGTGATTCCAACTCTGTGACATTCTGGAAAAGACAAAACTATGAAAACAGTAAAAAGACCATTGGCTGTCAGGGGTTGTGGGGACAGATGAAAAGGAGGATATAGAGGATTTTTAGGGCAGTGAAACTACTCTGTGTGAGACCGTAATGATGGGTAGCTGTCACCATCCATTTCTCCACACCCATAGAACTTTACAAAACCAGGAGTAAACCGTAATGCAAACTATAAACTGTAGTTAATAAAATGTATCATATTGGCTCATCAACTGTAACAAATGTAGGATTTTAGGATGGGTAACTGAGTGTCAGTGAGAGGGCATATGGGAACTCTCTGTACTTTCTTTTAAATTTTTCTATAAACCTAAAAGTGTGCAAAAAAAAGTCTATTAATTTTTTTAAATATATGAAACTCTCTTTTATCTCTTCAAAAGGTTTTTTTTTCTTTTCAAATAGCTTATTCTTGGAATATCTTATAAATTTAAGACCATTACATAAATATTTTAAACTTCTGTGACCAAAGTTCTTTTAATTAGAAATAAAGATCCATTTTTTACTGAGGCACATTTTTTTCTTTGTGAAACCATTATAATTTAGAAGATTGTAAATTAAACATATAAGGTTCAACTCATCCATAAGTCTTAATTTATGAAATGAAATAGGAAATTACCATTAGAAAGAATGAGTGGAATTGAAGGGTTAATGTAAAATCTTGGCAGTTATTACTTCTGTGCATGATACATCTATAATACTAGCAATACTAGCATCTATAATAAAAACAGATGGAGAAGGCTTATTTCTCCATTGACATCTCTACATCTTAAATGTGTTATGGAAGATTGATTTATAATTGAGAATTCAAAAAGCATGAAACTTACAAATCAAAAGTTAAATGACAGAAATCTGTATTGATATTAAATCCACAATAGAAGGCAATTTCAAACAAAATATCCCATTGTTTCCTTTCCTGTTTCATACACACTACACTAATATCAACATATGTGGAGAGTGCTTGAGACTGTGAACCTGGAAGGAAATACAGCAAGTCCTTGTGGGTCAACTGCAGGCTTCCTCTGACTGACATTTCTACCTCTACTTTTAGCTGCCATATGCAGTTATCTTCAGGTCAGCAACTTTTCTGAAGGAGGAAACTGCATGTGTCCCTTCCGGCCTTCTCACATCATGTTCAAGTCCTAAACAACACAGAGGATACCCAAGATTACACGTACAGAAATGATTAGTATGTTTTAAAAATAGGCTATGAAGCCATTTTAAAATTTATGGACAAAGAAATTATGAAACATGATGTTTTAAATTTTTACTATTTTTATGCTTAACTACAGCAAAGAAAAAAGATAACTTCTGCAATTATAAGTCATATAATATTAAGTTCTCAAGTCATAATCAGTTTGTGAAATATATTTATTAACTCTCTGTATCACAGACATTCTTCAGAATTAAAAATTTGGATGAGATACTTAACTCAGTGATAAAAAGAAATATTATAAACTATCCTTAGAAAGTCAAGCTATCCAGAAAAATCAGAGAATATGGTACTTGAAAGCGTATTTAATGGTGCTAGCTATCCAAATTACTTTTAACTCAAGGATGAGTTAATATTTCTTTAACAAATATAATACTTATTTTACATTTTAGAAAGAAATATGCTGTATTGAAGCATTATACAAATGCAACAAGGGAAGAAACAGAAGCTATGGCTGCAGTGTGTGAAGAGTGAGTTGTGAGTTGGGAGCTCTGCTACGGGAGGAAGACAGACAAGGACCTTGGAACAAGCCACGAACCAAAGGCAGCACAGTATGATATGCACTGTGTGTTTGTGTCCCCCCAAAACACACATATCAAAACTCTAATCCCCAATGCAATGGTTTTTAGAGGCAGGGTCTTTGGGAAGTGATTAGGTTTAGATGAGGCCATGAGGGTAGGGACCTCCATAATGGGACTAGTGTTCAGTAGATGAAGAAGAGACCAGAACGCTCTCTCTCCACCATATGAAGACACAACAAGAAGGCGGCTGTCTGCAAGTCAGGAAGAAAGCCCTCAATAGGAGCCTGACCACGCTGACACCCTGGTTTTGGAATTCCAGCCCCCAAGACTGTGAGAAATAGATGCATGTTGTTTAAGCCACATAGACTATAATATTTTGTAATAGTAGCCCAGGTTGACTAAAATATTATGTTAAAGAGAGAAGATGTTTCCACAAGTTCCAGTGGGCTCATGACTGAGTCTGTCAGCAGTATGCTGCAAATATGCCAAGAAAAGGTGCTGATACCTTGGGTAAGAGAGGGAGAGTTCTGCTGGAGGCATGTGAGCATTGGCTGTGACTAGAAAATCCCTGATAAAAATTCAAAGGCTTCCTGTGGATACAGAGATGTTGGATTCCAACTCCACATCAGCATCATGCTGTGGGATAGTGGTATTCGTAAGTCATAAGTTTTCTAATATTTTTACTCACACTGCTTGAATTCTTGCTCAAACTAGAAAATCCATCATAAACGTATTTTCCCAAACTAGATGCCTGAACCAATTTTATAATAGCCTTGGTGGTATAATCATCTGTTCTTGTTCTATTTATTTCTCAATAAAAGTTGCTTATCATAAAAATACTTTTTCTCGTGTAAGAAAACTATAATCATTACATGTTAAATGAGGTCTTTTAAATATCTGTGGCTTGGGAGAAACTACTCATCATATGATAGTATTTTGGAAAATTATTTCTCATTTTTTTCTAAAAATGGCAGTGTGTTTGTAAAGATTTTTGAAGTATGTCTGGTTTTTACATATGCTATAAAGCAATTGTTAAGGAAATCTCACTGTCCTATCCTAAGGTGTCCATTCTTCAAGCTGAGTTTATACCATTGGTAACTGGTAACCCACTAAACTGAGGGATGTTCCAGAACATGAATTAGATATATGCAAAAAGTATATTTGTTCACTCAAACCAAGAAAGCTTTTGACATTAGACCAGAGCATTAAATGCTTTATTCTGCAGGATGTGTAATGTTACTATCAAGATTAAATACAAGATAATGGAAAGCACAATGAACTATCACCCACAGAGTCAAAGGCTTGGCAGCAACATCCATATCAAACTGTGTTGCTAGAGAGCAGAAGTCATAGAATGTCATGAAAGATTTAGCAGTAAACCTTGGACTTACAATGAAGGATAAAGGAAAAATATTTTTCTTTTCTTTTGAGAAACCTATTATTTAACACGTGCTGAGCATTAAGCCCATTAGACAAATACAGACTACCATCTGGGTTGGAAGTATGTAACACACTGGCTAGTCAGAGAGCCTTTAGACCCGGCAGCTGTGTCTGACGGACGGGAAGCCCCATGGCTCACAACCAGAAGGCAATTTCGTTGGGTGCTCTAAAAGGCACTGATATAAATCACATCTCCTCAATGACTTCATTTCATAGCTCATTTCCACATCAATCTAAAATAATTTTGGGATGTAGATTCCTAAAGAGACATTTAATAGAATAAGGCTAGTAATGTTGCGTTTCAGTGCTGTTGTTGTTGTTGTCGTTGTCGTTGTTGTTGTTTTGGTAAGCTAGTAATCGTGAATGATTGTCAAATCTTCCCACAGAATTACTTGTTTTGTTGATTTGGTGAATTGTCATCAGTCTGTTTGGCGCTGGCATTGTGGATCTTGCACATCATAAGATCAGACAGAGGAGCGAGAAAGGTCACTTCTCGACTTGAAAGTGAGATTGATGATTTGCTAGGCCTGTGTCACCGATATTTTGGTTCTGCCCTGGGAAATTATACACTGGTTGATCACTCAGCTGCAAATGGGAAATTGATGCTACACTTTAAGTAGCTCTGAAGCAATGCCTCCATATTAGACATCTTTCTTAACGTTCTTATTGTTATCTATTAAGTGTCAGCACCAGAGATAAACTTGACAATAAATGAAGTGTAGACAACCAGGTCACTGTCCTAACATCTAAAGAAATTCAGTGCTTAGAGTAGAAGAGTGATGGTTCATTCAAATAGAATCTGCCCTTGATGCTATATACGTTTTTTTTTAATTGGCTTCTTGGCAAACATTAACTTAGAAAATGCAGTATTACATAAAAAGAAAAGTTGGATTGGATTATGTTTTATGCTTCATATGGAAGTTTTCTTTTCTTTATATCAATATTTCAGTGCAAGTTTCTTAAAATACTAAATGCTACTTCATAAAAATAAAATAAAATAAAATAAAATAGAAATAGACCATAAAGTCATTTAACCTAGTCCTCTAGTTTAGAAACAAATCACATAAAGCACTCTTTTTAGGGAAAAGGGTCTAATTCATTCTGATCAATCTGTAACAAATCTAGATCAGCCAGATACTACAATACCATTTCGAGACTTATTTTTACCCTCATGTCTGCATCCTATGGCAGGAAACAGGGGAAGGAAGTCAAGAAGGACTAGTCCAGGAAACTTGGAGTTCCGGCCCACTTTGGGGGCAGTGGAGGCCTGGAGGAGACACAGGGGCAGCCCCAGACTACCGGTCAAGTGCAGCAGAATTTTAAATCATGGTTCATCATGTCTGAGCACTTTAGCAAATAAAAGGAAAATATATTCAGAAAACACAGTATAGTTCAGTCAATTAGATTAGCTGGATGAATATATGCATTGTGAAGATATTAAATTTGTCAGAATAACTATAAACCCACTGAGATTAGTATGGAGAACATGTTGAAAATGCAAAATAAAGATTTAAATAAACAAAGAACGTGTACTCCCTGGTAAACAGCACACTCCTAGGTTCACCGTTACCTCTCAGAACTTTTCCTTTTGACAGTGATAGCAATGTGAATCCTGTCACAATGAACAGTCTTCTAAATGACCCTATGCCTCACTCAGTCTCATCTCTATACCAAAACATGAAGCAGTCAGTGATGGTAGCATTCCATATAGTCATTTGCAATGTTCATCAAACGTATATTCAATTGGGAAAATTCGTTGTGTTCAGTCCACATTGTCGGCTAATTGGTGCTCCTGTTTTGAGGAGCACAAATGAGAAAAGCAGGTGAACGCTACCCTCAGTACAATGCGTGGAAGCCACTGGAGGACAGGTATGTCGGCGAGATAGGAAGTTAGGGGCTGCAAGAATGGTTGTATTTGAACAGATGTCTGAGGGGTATGCGCCCAATACCAACAACAGAGAAAGCTGCCCTGTGGGGGCTGCTTAGATGTGAAGATGTGCTTGCTGAGCAAATACATTTTGCTGACTCTGGACAAATCATCAAGTATGCTGGTCCCAGGTTATACACGAAGATCGGTGGAAGATTTGTAAAGAAGTGCAAACTTGATTTTCATTTTGGTTTTCATGGAAACTAGTTAAACATGAAATATCATCAGTCTTGAGACAGGGAAGAACAGCTCTGAAAAAAGTCTAAGATAACAGAAGAGAGAACTAGAGGAAGTCACCCAGGTAAGAAGCCCGCAGGATAGTCCAGGTGGAAGATGATTGCAGCAGTGACCAGAGAAATCATGATGAGGAGGGAAGCAGGGGAAATTCTTAATGAGTTCAGCCTGGAATAGAAGACCATGCTTTTAATATTAACAGGAGCTAATATTTATCTTGCAGGCGACACCGTTCTGTGCTAAGAGCCATATGTGCATTGCCTTACTTTCTCCTGCTGAGTTACTTTGAATTACAAGACCCACTTCACACCTGAGGAAACTAAGATCTCAAATGCCTTGATTAAGGTCATATGGCTGCAGAAACTGGCTGAGCCAGCATGAAACTCAGTTCGGCCTGACTGCAGCATCACTGATCGCAAACACTGAGCTCCGTTGATGTGCACACTTTGCTTGTGGGCAAATAAATGTTAGAGTGAAGAAGGGGCACTAGGAGAGCACCTTCTAAATAGCTATGTTCTAGCAAGATGAGGAACCATCAGGATCAGATTAGTTACATACGTAAATAAGTAATTTTAGGAAATGTTAAACTTCAGATTCTTAAGAGATGTCCTGGATGTGGTTAGAACCACATGGGCTGCAGCAAGATGTTTAGAAATTACCAGCACATATAACCTGTGCAACTTGATAACATTTTGGGAAATAAAAATTTGACATACAGAAAACAATGAGATACCACCACATGACTTTTAGAATAGTCAAAAATCTAGACACTAACAACAACAAATGCTGGCAAAGATGTGAAGCAAC